AAATTTAATATTACATCGTTACCGTTAGGTACCGAAGGACCAATGCTAGCGGGTTTACGCGATAAGTATTTTTATTTATTCCAACGATCAGATAAGCTTGTTCTTCAAGTACCTTTCTCCAGGGTTGTCAGGGCACCCTAGATTGTAAACCAGGGAGGAAGTAATGAAAATGCCAAGCATGGTTTCCAAACCAAGCACCAAGCAAGCTTTTGAAGGCCAAATAAATGATAAGCTGGTCACTTACATTTTTAATATTACAATAAAATTATTATACTCTTTAATTTTTAAAGGGTATATATTTGACCCGATCTAGATTTAGACACAGCAGTGTATTTTTGAGTTAAGTTAAATGAATTCTGTCTGTTCATGCGAGTAGCAAACATTTAAACAAAATCGGCTAAAAAACGGCTTTAACCGCGAAATATATTAGTAAAAATTATTTTAAGTACGGCCCGACGCTTCGAATGCTTTTCAGCCGTGGTCACGGAGAGATTATAGGTGGATGTTTCTAATGTCAAAATAAAACCTGCTACGCTAGCGCCATCTGTTCCTTTTACATTTGTTAGTATGTAAAGTTAAAAAGTAATTTAGTGTTATTTATACTGATATGGTCACGAAGTCATTAGTGTCTGTTTTATTAAATCCGAATACCTAAGCCAAAATACCGACAGTGCATCTGGATTAGATGTTATATGGATGGGGTATTCTCACCTTTCCTCAAGTCCCCAAGACCGTCTGTCCTTCTCTAAATTAAAAAAATACAGATATACTTACTTATTCTATCGAATCATTTGCAAATAAAAACAGGCTAGTGCGCTATCGCCATTCCAGCGTTCGGAGGCAACCCTAGTACGCAATCTGGGAGGCTTTCAGTCGCACCTGTCACGTCTTTGGCCTACATTTCAGCGTGTTTTTACTGGCCCCGAGCACCTCTTAATGTTGAAATCTTTTTAACATAAGCCGCGTTTAAATGCTATTCCTGACAGATTTTTTAAGGTGACGCCATAAATAAATTGAAGGCGATGCAAATCTTTTATCTCTCTTCAAGCTGTTAACCTGTGTTGACTATGTTAAACATAGCTGCTTAAGTTCTCCAAGGCACGGCGGTGGCACTTACTAAACATTGTGTGTAGTTTACGCGATTAGCACACATTTTAATAAAAATCATTTAAAAGGTTTACAATGTTAAATTGTAAAATGTATAAACACTCCCCGTGACCAAGGCCACCGCAATGAATTTACAACATAGAGCTGTTAATAAAAAAAAAAAGAGTTAATTCATTTAGTTCGTGTTTTAAACGGTCAAAAGAGTGTTATTGAAAAAAGTTAAAGTATTGTCATACTGCTGTATAGCGTCCGAAACGTCGGGCCGTAGTTAAAATATTTTTTTTATAAAAGTTTAAAATTCTTACTTCCAAGCTTTTGTGACCGTAGTCTAGTGCACTAACCACTAAACCAACAAGACAGTTACGACACTCACTAGAAAATATATTGTATTTTTAGGCAAAACCCTTCTCCCCCCGTACTGCGAACATATATCTGTGTCCATTTCACTGGTTGGTTTTTACATACGAGTAGTTGATACATATAGATCCTGTTCTACCAATTAGTAGCACACAACATTATTTTATATTGTTAATATTAATTCTCTCGCGCTTAACACAATCCTAGGCAACACGTTTAACCATTTAGCTACAGAGACGGTCAAAATATGTTTAGGTAAATAAATATTGGTTTAATAGAACTGCGATAAGATTTATTTTATACAAATATCTATCGGACCGCGGGGCGCGGCCGCCCGTGGTTCGCATTGTCTGAAAAAATGGCCCGCAATAGGTTTCACGCGGATAATACTATCTGCTGGGGTAAATAAATTACTGAGCGGGGATAATACTTGGGCCAAGGGACCATTCCATTTGTCATGTTATGGATAGTTCGAGAAATTGCGTAAGTGCTTCCGACCTGCCTATTAGTGTTATTCTATTAGATGTCGGATGTAAAAACGCCACCTATCGAGAAGGGACAGAGAATGTAATTTGCTATAATTTACAATTAAATTAATTATATGACGTTGTAAAAAACATTTAAATAATATAATTAAACATTTTAACGGTTTAAAACGCGATATATATAATTTAAAATACCAAACTACTGTATTTTTATAACTTCATACTTAAATATTGTCTGTTGTTTAAGGGGAGACTGTTTCCCCGTGACTATATGGGGTTATATATTAAAGTTTTATTTATAGTGTGAATAAACACTATAAATTAAACTTTAATGCGTATTGTGTGCTCCTGTGACATCTGAATCTGAAAGCATCCAATGTAAACACACTGCGTTTTAAACCGTTTATTCATTGTGTACTCAAGCAGCGTGAAAGTTAATATTTAAAAGCCTCTCAATCAACGCGACGATGGAGTGTACGCTGTGTAACTGATAGCCGTATAAATATTGATCGAATATGAGCGCGTAATAGCTGTATACGGTGTCTTACGTAAATCCACTTAGATTTCAGATTAGCTTACAAGCACTTTTATCGAAGCTACAATGTTTCTATTCTGTAGATTACATATTTTTGCTCTTAATTGTGGTTTCCTGCAGGCTTCGGGCGAATATATTTCTGTGTCCGCGTTAAATATCTCTAACTTGTTCTATAAAAACGATTCAAATATTGTCTACCGTTTCTGCGAGAAATACATATTTAAATAAAACACTCCAATGGTTTAAAACGGGATGTTAGTTATTAGTTAAACTAAATTGGAAATAATTTTAACTACGGCCCGAAGTTTCGGATGCTTTGCGGCAGCTGTGGTCACGGGGAGACAAATAAAAATATAATAAATGATAATTTCAAATAAATTTAATAAATAAATATCGCGTTTTAAACCGTTAAAGCATATTCAAATGTGTACTACTCGCGTAAACTACGAACAGGATTATATCTTTTGCAGATTTATCAATTATTATACTCGAATTTTTTAAGTGATATTTGAACCAAAGACTGTTTCATTTTCTCTAATTCCGAAAAAAAATTGCGAACAATTTCAATAAAGCCTCAATTTCACGGGCGTGTTGGCGCGAACGCAGGCACAATTTAATAGGACTTCAAAAGGGCTGCTGATTCACAGCACAATTCTATCAGCTTAGCGGTCTATCCCGGTATTATGTGTATAAAGTTATCGCCCTCACTACGAGGGGAACGGTGCTATAAATAATTTTTATTTTTCACGTTTTCGAAACTGGCAACATCTTAATATCGTTCGGTTACCTTAAACAAGGATTGTAGTAGTAGATAAAACTATGTTTAATTATTAAGGAATTACGCACCTTTTTTCAGTTACCATACGAATATAATTTCATCTGAGGATTTTTGATTAAAAAGTACAACAAAACCAACGTCAGCTCAAAGCAAGTTGTGCACGGGAGCATTTATAATGAAGTTATTAAAAATGCACTCTGAAAGTATGAAATAGAACTGTGAAAAACTTGTTTCAACAACAAAACTTAAAAGAAAAGCTGTATACTAAGCAAAAGTTTAAAAATAACAACGCGGCGGGCATCCATTTTGTCGTGGGCGAAAAAGGCGCGAAAATAGTGCCCTAGGAAAATGGCGCTTGTATATTTATAGTTTCAATTAACGGACTTTGCACGCTTCGCCTGGCGGACTTAAACTCGCTAACTGGCACGATATTAGAATAAATAAAACAAATTCGTCGCAAAAAAGGTTTATAAAAGAAGTTTAAATAGGGGATTTTGTCAGCGGAGTATTTATGCGCGGCGCGAGTTCGTGTTTTTAATCTGTGGCAATTAAAAACATATTGGCTCGAAATGTTTCCCGCTAAAACAAACTTAAGCTTGTGAGTGTTAAATATTTTTTCATTCGAGAAATCCTTTTGAATAAAACGCTTTAACGGTTTAAAACGCGATGTATATTAGTTAAACTTATTTGGACATTATTTTAACTACGCCCCGATGTTTAGTGTCTTCCCGTGACCACGGCTGCTAAAAAGCATCCGAAACGTCGGATCGTAGTTAAAATAACTTCCAAATAAGTTGACTAATATATATCGCGTTTTAAACCGTTAAAACGGTATTATTTAAAGGTGTACTACTCGCGTAACTACAAACAGTATTCAAGAAAGCCTATAAAGCAGATAGTGCGCAGTGAAAGTTTTTTTTCTCTACTACGCATTAAAAAGGTTCGTAACCTTTGAATTATATTTAAGTAAATAAAATTAGAAGTGTTAAGCGATATCAAATTACAATAAAGTATTGAATAACAGCGGAGGCGTGAACAAGACGAAAACTTTATACGTCCAAATGACACTAACGTCTACTTAAATGTATATAAAATGTAACACGACACTGGATATGTAATTGTAATGAGTTAGATAACGGTATTAAGTTTATATTACTTTTAAAGAGATACCTAGTAGAAATTATCCTGGTTCTTCAACTAATAAGGCGATAGAATGTTTAGACTTAACAACGAAACAAAAAAGGTTTCGTTATAAAAATATTTTATATGTAATATTGTTATTAGAAAATTTGTGTCTTATAGTTCAGTTTTATACCGTTATAATTGTTTTATTATATGTGTACCTACTAAGTGCATAAAAATGGTACTAAATTGATATTTCTGTTATTGAAATTATCATAAATTTAATAGTAAGTTATAGTATTTATTTGAGGCTGCTAGAGGCAGAGTGGCCTAATAACAAAAAAATATTTTCAATAAGGAGGAAAATGTGCAACTTAGGCGAGATGAATTTATAGGTACTATATTCGGCCACTGTGCTCATGGGCTTAAATCATAAATTTGCATTTATAGTCTGTCTCTAGAGTATTATACGCGATATGCCTCGAATGCATTTCTTCTTCATCTGTAGTTGTAAAATATTGGACAGAATAAAAGATTACAGATTGCCGAAATAAATCGTAATTAAGCAGATGCAGCGTTATATAATGAAAAGCAGCTCCAGCGCTGCAAATGCTATTTAGCGGCAATTATGCCGCGTCACCGCCCATTGTCCGGCAGCGATTACGCGCCGCACAATGGGACCAATCTGGACCTTAACGAAGCCCTGGCAATCGCCGGCGCTCCGCTCGAAGACGTAATTTGTGGTAGAAATTGCAGACGAGTTCCGAGTTGTCCGAGTGGACTTCTGGGCGAAGTTGGAATTGATGGGCAATTTGCGTAAGGGCTCGACTCTTTGGGAAATAGAGGATATTTCAGAGTACGTCCTTTGAATCCATGCAGCTGCATAACTTCTTAACATTGCAATGTTTAGTAATCTCCCTAATTACTTACTATCTAAAATCAAAACCTAAGAAAAAAGTTTAAGAATTTCCTTTATCGTACTGATAGTTAAAATTTAGAAAATTAAATGTAATGTGTGGAAGGATGCCACTCTGAAAATTGCTGCAAGATCGATTTTCAGTGATGCCCCAATAATGAGTGATAAGCAAAAATATTACATTAAAGTTAATAAGATATACAGGAAAATCCCTATAACTAGAAAACAAAATTAACACAACCAATATAATGTCTGTAGTTTACGCGAGTAGTACACATTTAAATATCATATATCTCCCCGTGATCACACCTGCTGCAATGCATACGAAACGTCGGGCCCTAGTTAAAAATAATTTTCAAACAAGTTTAACTAAAATATATCGCGTTCTAAACCGTTAAAGTATTTTATGTAAATAACTGCGATCCCCATACTCCGACAGAATATATCTTTTGTATTTAAATTTTGATGATTTAATGGGAATTTATGTATTAATATTAAAATTGTATATACTCAAAGATGCACTGACGAAAGTGCGCCGGAAATTATAATGAGCTGACAAAAGTTCTTTGTAAGTGCCGCCAATAATGGCATGAACTTTACTTATTTTGCCGTGCTGCATTGTGTTGGGTCTTTGTTTTGCTTTATGGTGTATTAAGATTTCGATCATGCATTAGACCATTTCTAGAGCAATGGTTTAAAACGCGAAAGTTTCAAAAACATAATAGTTTAGATCGATACACTGCTTACTTATAAATAAAATCGTTTAGTGAACGCTACCCCTTCACAGGCACAGGTAACTTAGAACTTCAATATAAACGACATTTAACAGGCTCCTTGGTCGTGAGTTCGATTCCCAACGGATCGAACAAGTTTCTAATCTATTTATATTTATTCTAAAACATACTGGTCTGCGTCTGCAAATCTAGGTAAAATTCCCGGTTGGAATATCGGAACTCGCGAAGGTCACGAAGTCGAGAATTTTGATCGCGTTTCGTTTTGGGTCTATGGATTTCCGAATATCCAAAGTAAAAATAGGTAGAGAGACTGAACCCCAAGCTTGTCTCTCCTAAATCTATATATATAGTTGTAGTATTTTTTTTTCAATGATCGACTTAAATGTTCATAAAACTTATTAATAATTATTATGTTATAAATAATAAAATTGCACTGTGCCTGAAAAACAAATACAAAACAATAAAAAGATTATAATTTTGTCAGTCTTTTTATTATAACAAAAACAATATTAAAACAGTCTGTGATAATTGTACAAGCAATTAGTTTCATGATTAGGCAGAATTTTGTCGCCTTAAAAGCTATTGTGTTCGCCCTTTCTCCAGAATTTAAACAAAACGTTATTAGTTTTAAACATCTTTTTCTAACTTAACTTTTTTCCCGGTGATTATATCGCCAACGCGCGCTAAAGGCTTTCATGAAGCATATTGTTTGAGCCGTATTTCAAAATATACATAACAATAGAGTTGTAGTGTACAAGATATACAATTGTCTAGGTTTTGGCGTTGACTTAAGTGTTTATGTCTGCACTTTTAATAAAGCATTTTAAACATCTTATTAACTAACAGTTTTGCAATTTTACGCATATGATAAGGAGTCGTGTCAGCCTTTTAAACCGTTTCAAACATAAAATATATTGACTACTAGAGCTAGACTACTAGACTATATCTAGGTGATTCTTTCGGTCAAAAGAACACCTTCTGTCGTACTCTAATATCACTAAAAACGAGACAGGTTTGATTCTAAAAGCAGTAAATATAACTTGTAACATTAAAACTAAGTATTGACTATAGTTAACGCAAAGAATACAAATGTAAATAAAACTTTTAACAGATGGCGCTAGCGTAGCAGATTTGACTTTGATATATAAGGGAAACCCTCCATACACAGTCCCCCCTTGACCACGACTGTTTCAAAGTATCTGATCCGACGGGCCGTAGTTAAATAACATTGAAAATAAGATAACTTATATCCCGTTTTTAAACGTTAAATTTGTTTTATAGGAATATCTACCTATTAAATTAAACTCTACCATAAAACCTAAATGGCAATTATAACAGTTATTTTATAAAAGAAATGATCTACTCCAATATTTCCGCCGTGTAACTTCAAAATTGATTTATACATTAAAGTTCGTATAATAGTGACCTCTTTGAAGACCTAGATGCCTAGATTCTTGCAACGGAGCGCATTTGTGATTAGGTCAAACCTCTTAAGTCAATTAAGTGACCAAGCTACTTTGGTCTACATGCAAATACATGTTACCATTTATGCTTTGGAAAAACACTGGCTGTATTGAAAACACACAATATAACCAATATATACAATTTGGAGAAGAGTGTTTGAAAACTTTAATACTTTTCACATGTCGATTTTAGATTGTTTTTTTTTTACAACACGGGCAGGAATCAAACCTGCATTCACAGCGTTTCGTGCTGTTGCTTTAACTTTGCGATATACGTCGGCATACATGTTGTGAATGCCGATTCGAGTCTTGCCAGTGTCATAAAGATTTTTCATTCTAAAATGGAGACGAGTAGACAATAAGTGATTATATTTGTTTTAAAGTTCTTTCAGTCACCTTAAAGGAGATGGAGACATTAAAAAAAAATGTACGTAGTAAGGGAGATGTCCCTCTATCTTTAGTCTTCCTGTGACCACGGATGCAAAGAATCCCAATATATATCGCGTTTTAAGCCGTAAAAGTGTTTTATTTAAATGTGCACTACTCGCGTAAACTATAACCAGTATTTAATAAAATGTGCCTCTTATTTGTATTTTGCGTAAAAACGATTTGATATAGCCTCAATCTAAGATGTAAGCCGCCTTGTTTCGGATCGATCTGCGGAAATTACTTATAAGTAGCGGGCAAATAGTGGGAGATCTGATAAGTGGCTTTCCACGCTACGTGATTGATGCCTTTATAGACCTACTGGTTCAAGGACCTTTAAATTGTGTGGTCTTACGATAAAATATATACTTGAAACTGTTGATAACTATTTAAATAAATACGAAATGTTATAAGAAATATCAAGGATGTCCTTTAAGTCAAAGTCAAAATTTGCTACGATAGCGCCATCTGTTGAAAACTAACGGTAAATAATATTACTAGACAACAAAACACGATTCTTACAAAAACATAACACACTTCTATTTCACTCTATCATAAACTTATTTTATTCCTGTGTATTTTATAAAGATATTGCTAGTTGTAATTTGAAAGGAAAATATTTTCGTCATGACATTTGATTAATGATAAGTTTAAAACACTGGAGCTTCGAAGTAGTCATTTAAACTAGCTTGGTCAATAAACTTTTAACGTAAATAAATGTCTCTAATCCTTGCCTTTAAAAATATTTAACACCAATTTAAACCCGATGATTTCGTAATTAGTACCAAATCTCAATTAATATGTAAATCACAAGGGGTAGTTTGTACCCTAGCGTTATGCGAGGAAAACATGCAAACTCAACGTGTCGAGGAATAGCGAATAACTTCACTTAATCTAACTGAAATCCAATTTCAACGAAGGCTCTATTTAAGGTATAATTACAAAAACGATGTACTAGAGAATACTTGTATAATACAAAACGATTTAGCCTTTCATAAATTGGCGTCTTCAGTTTTCCAATAAACAAAAAAGCAGACCACTTATCAATAATGATTTAATAAAGCAGGCGCATAAAATATTCATTCATTAAAACTTTACAACGCTTAATGAAAATCTTATTGGATGCAGCAGGGTTAAGGGGTAGAAATGGCCCGGCTAAGTGTATTACGAATGGATCACTGCCTTTGATTCGTCACATCAAAGACGAGCTCTCCGCTAAATCGAATCAAAGAGCTTTGTTTCTAGACGGTAGGTAAATTCGCAAAGGATAGATTTCAACTTCCGTGCAGACTTACAAAAATGGTCGGATAATACGCGGAAAATTACAGGAATGCTGAGTGTTGAGAATATTTTGATCTAGCGGAATTCTTGTTTTAGCTACGAAATGAGCAAACGTATACTATGTTTTTTACTGTCATTTGTTTTTGATTGTTTGTGCGACATATGTATTGATATTCTCTTTTGGGAGAAGCTTTAACTAAATCTTTTTTATCGCTAGAACAATAATTCCTAACGAATGTTTAACGTATGTCAAACTATTTATATAGAAATAGTAATTTTGACATCCCATTAGTAACGTTTAATATTCCATCAGTTAAGTTTTGGATAGTTTTAAAATTAAGTATGGGGCGACATCAAACATAATATATTTAGTACGATACGCCATTGATCTATTTTGGATGTTCCGAAATCCACCGACTGCAACCGAAACTCGATACTTTACGGTTTTTTCATCTATCTTCGTCACCCATTTATCCAGATTTTACATAACTATAAATTGGTTTTCTAACACGTTGGACGTTGGTTGTCAGCTATACAATGCTAACATTAGACCAATAGGCTCGTCAAAAAGCACAATAAAATAACTGAAGCCTTTAAAAAGACCTAGAAGCAAAGTAACTCATAGTTATCTACTAAATCGATACCTCAAGCAATAGAGCACTCTCAATATTCAGTAAAGTTTAAAAATCTAACTGGGTCCGTTCGGCGGCGAGCCAAAAACGACGCGTTACGTAAACCGTAGCTGCAGTAATTTTAAGAAGTATATTGGGTTAGTTTTACACGAAGCTTGCCAACGAGGGCAGTATTAACCCGATTGTGTTTTATTGCAACAACTTAGCGTGGGCTTTACGTGAACTTGCTGATTTTGTAATAAGCGTCATCGTGGTACAGAAAATTATGTGTAATACTCGATTGAGACTTTGACGGGCTTAATAGCAATTTTTAACGACTGCACAAAATTATAGTTTTATCTGAAGCATATTAATAAAACACTTTGACGGTTTTAAACGCTATCTTTCGAGTTAAGTAAGTTAAAATAAAATAGTAATTATATTTACTTCGGCTTTATACTCAATAT